TGGGTGCGACTTGTGAGGATCGTCCCCAATAAGACGCCACTTGGTCATGGTTGCTGCCGATCTCGGTTGCTGCCGACCTCGGTTGCCGCCCCATGCCACAGAGCAACACCAAGAGGACAAGGACATCCATGCGCGACGCGGTGGACGAACAACAACCCCCCTCCCCAAACCAGTTCGGGGTAGTGCGTCCCCTCAACCCACGCAATGTCAAACTTATCAGCCGACAGAATGAATGAATGGAGGTAAGTAGCTCGTTGGCGGCGAACAATCATCACGCGGTCGGCATTTTTCTCCCCCTCTTATTATGATTTGTGCTCTATTTATGCTCACTCTCTCTCTCTCTCTCTCTCTCTCTCTCTCTCTCTCTCTCTCTCTCTCTCTCTCTCTCTCTCTCTCTCTTTTTTGTTGCCTGTTCGCTACCCGCTGTAAGATCGCACGCGGAGCCTCTCTCTGTCTTGCTCTCTCTGTCTCTCTCCCTCTCTCTTTCTCTCTTTCTCATCTCATCGAACGCATTCCCATCCGTCTCTCGCTCTCGCTCTCTCTCGTAACCATCTCGCTCGCTCTTGATTGCTTTGGCGGCGGTCTTTAAGTTTTTTTTTTTTTTGTTTTTTTTTGCTTTTTTTTTTCAACTCCAATCTCGCCGCCTGATCGTCGTATTCTGGTGTCGGCGTTTGCGTTTTTCGTGTGGTGCAATGCGTTTCATCAATCTGTCATGCGTATTGAAGGGAGAGGGAGCGGAGAGCGAGTGGTGCGGGACACCGCGTTTCTTCTGTTGCTTGCTGTTTTTTTGTTTTTCGTGTTTTTTTTTTCTTTTGTTTTTTCAACTCCAATCTCGCCATCCGATCGCTGTATTCTGGCTTCGGCGTTTGCATTTTTCGTGTGATGCAACGCGCTTCATCCATTTGCCATGCGTATTGAAGGGGGAGGGAGCGGAGAGTGAGTCGTCTTGTGTTGGTGTGACACCGCGTTTCTTTCGTTGCTTTTTTTTCTTCTTTCCTTTTTTTTTTCTTGGTGGGTTGAATGGGTTTCTTTTTCTCGATTGATTTTTTTATTTTCCTTCTTGTAAAAAGCATGACCATAAACAGCACAGTAACGCAAAAAAACAAGGAAAAAAAAAAAAAAAAGACGACAACATTGCGATCGCTGCTGCGTTCAGTGTGTTCAGCACTGGGCGCCCCTTTCACCCCCTACCCACCAATACCACCATGGTTATTGATGCGAGGTCATTGCGTGATTTATCGAGAAAGTAGGAG